TAATTACCGAACTACAAATAAACGAAAGTCAAATGCTGTATTATGGTTCACGTATTATTCACGTGTTCAATTTTTTTAGTATAAATATCCCGGACATGTCCGGGACTCAGATATAAAGCTATGGGACAATGTCCGAACACATTGTTATGTTGGGACATTTTTAGGCACATGGGACATAGAATATTGTCCAGGACATCAATGTCCCCAAAATATTGATGGGACAATGTCCGAACCCATCACTGCCTGTTACTATGTTATAAACTAGTGATGCCTGACGAAACCATGTGATGTTAATCATCACGTGCTATTACTTATAAAAATCAATTGATTTTTATATATTGTACCATGTGACAATTAGCATCACATGGTTTCGCCAGGCATCACTATTATAAACAGACACATTGCATCGTTTATTTTTAATCAAATTTTTTTGGTAACTGATTTTGGTAGTCGAATTATTCAGAGTAAATTAAACTATTAATTCCGACGCTTCTACCGATTGGATTCGATTTTTATAATACATAGACATTTATAGCTTCATATTAACAATATGAACAATAAAATAAGGCATATTCTAGTGTTCACCATCGCACTAAATTTTGAAAATTTGCAAAAAGTGGAAATAAACAAAATTTTTTAAAATAAAATATCGGTATAAAATAAATATAATACATCTCTATTGATCGACTCTAAATACTATTTAAAAAGATGTTAATTTATTTTTTTATACTTCTCAACAACTTAGTAGCATTTTCATGATTACTATCAGAAGCTAATTTAAGATACTTCATCCCAAGCTCCCTATTCTCATTATTCTGTTGCACTTTAAATTTACCATGAACATAAATATCACCCAAAAAATACATTGCATCAGCATTTTTCTTTTCAGCGGCTAATTTAAAATAATGTAAAATTTGATTACGATTATCCTCCTTTGTAGCTTCATCATCATCTTTACTAAGATTAGAAAGTAAAGCAACAGCATATCGGACCTGAGCAATAGTATGATTATTATCGGCAGCTTCTTTAAAGAGTTGCTTTGCACGATTTATATCCTTTTTAATATTATTATGACCATAATAATAATAATAACCTTGCCAATATTTTGCTTCAATATTACCAAGTTTAGCATTTTCTTCGAAACATTTCCAAGCACTTTTATAATTTTTAGCTTGATGAAATTCAATGCCTTTTTCAAGAGGTGTTACAGGCATTTCGAATCTAACAGATGGACCTTCTTCTCCCATTGTTCTATCAAAACTATTATTATTAGTTTTATCTTGCAAAGATTTTTCTGTTGGAGAGGTTGGATATTTTGCAGCTAATTCTTCAAGTCTATTGTGTAAATTCGCAAGAGCTATTCGTTGATGTGGTATATGATGCCATGCTAAAAAAAAGAAATATAATTAAGGAAATCAATATAAAATTTTTTAAAATCGAAAAAAAAAGGAATGGAAAAGAATTAATATATATATATATTTACTTTTATCAATAACTTCAGTAAATTCTTTTTGAATTCCCTTATCAATGGGATTTCTAAATCTTCCAAGCGAAAGTTTTTCTCGTTTACCAATTAAAACATGGTCTGATATTGCGGCTGCGTCATAATCCATGTAAGGTAATTTTTCATAACAAAGTTCCCAAATAAGCATTCCAAAACTAATTACGAAATTACAAAATTAATTATTAAAAAAAAATTAAAAAAAATAAAATTAAAGGTCCTTATAAAACCAAATAGTAATAAATACCTAAATATTTCACAGTTAAATGTATATACTTTTTCTTCGTATTTGTTTTGTTTATATTTTTTAATCAGTTCTGGAGACATCCAACGAAGAATATCAGTTACTAAACCCGAAAGATTTGTAGTAGTAATAGCGTCAGCATCACGAGCATATCTAAAATTTCCAATTTTTGGATCCAAATTATCTCGTACCTGTAAATCTAAAATTTTTAGTATTGTTAAAATGTTAAATAAATAACAATAAATTTTATAAAGTTATACTTACAAAAATATTTTCGCATCTAATATCATGATGAAGAACATTTACTCTACGTAAAAATACTATACCACGGCAGATATCACGAATGATTTGTGCTTTCCTAGGCCAAGGAATCTTATATGAATTATAAAGTTCTTTTAAATTTCCATATTTAGCCCAGTCAAAGATCATAACTTTATGATTATCATAATTTGAAAGACCATAAAAACGAAGAATGTGTGGCGATTCACCCAATTTTTTAAGTATTGCTAATTCTGCTTCGAGTTTTTTATTAGGATCTCTAATAGGTTTACATGCAACTTCAACACAACCTTTATAAAACTTTCTCGTAATAGGAAGTTGATCTGAACCACGAAAATCGAACTTTGAAGTTTGATGTGGTTCACTCAGTTCATTTGGATTGATGATATGAGCATGGATATCATTTGAGTTTTGAGATTTTATGATAGTTATCTCTTGAGCTATCATATCGATTTGCTGTTTCATGCCTTCGAGATTTTTGAGTGCCTAAATAATAATATATATATAAAAATAACGTAAAACGATAATAACATTTCAAGTAATTATACTTACAGATTGTACGTCGGCTAGAGCTTTTGTAACCTTTTCTGAATCCTTATTTCTTTGAGTTTCATTAACAACAGCTAAAGTAAATTGTAAATCACCCATACACTTATTATATTCATCAGTTAATTTTTCATATCTAATTCTAACATCATTTGCATTAAGAAATTTTTTATAGCCTTTAAGTTTTGCCACATTTTCGGTATAATCTTTGACTTTTTGTAAAACATTTATAAAACTTTGAAAAGCTAAATAATATTCTTCTTTACGAATATTATCTTGATTATCATCCATATTTCTCATCATCATTTCTATAGCATATTCAGCAGTCTTCACTCGATTCGTCATAATTAAACAAATTTCTTTATTACATTCTGCATTCTCGTAAATATGATTAATTTCTCTAGCTATTACATTTACAGCACCGACTAAAGGAACGTATAAGGCTACAATTTCCGCAACAGTTGTAACAGTTGTAATAGCAGACTTAAATTTATTATCGTTATCCATAATTATGAAACTGTATTGTTATAAAGTAGCAAGATTAACGGTAAATCTAGAAATGCTTTTTTTTATACCATATGAATGTTGCGAGATGGTAGTACATTACATATAAGTGCTTTAGTTTACAGTACTTTGTTATCGTATTATGTAATTTTAGTACAAAGTACCGGAGCATGCATTTTGTCGAGTATATATGCTTTATGTAATGTATGGTAAATAAATGTGATACGGAAATTAAATTAGGTCGTAAAAAAAAAAAAAGCTTTTTTTCCTATAAAAAAGAAAATGAATGCTAGTAGTAACACTCATCATCAAAAGGGACCACTAGATTATACAGTTTTGTTAACACACGTACGTACTTCAAAATTACTTTGGCATGCATTACTTTTTCTCAACGGTTTCTTCTGCCGCTGTGGCTGGATGTACAGTGCAGGTCGTAGGTTTTGGGGTCACAAGGTCGGAATTCAGCGGAATCGTGGTCGGCTGTGCTGAAGTCATAGCTCGCTATCCATGTCGGATTCCCTTATGTCAAGAAAATCCCGGGCTAAGGATCTACAAAAATTAGGCCCGGAGCCAATAAAAATTGCAGGATCTTGCAGATCTTGCAGATCTTAACGTAAATCTAAACAAACGCCAAAAATAAAG